TAACGCGTCTTTTCTGGTACTCCTACTCCCAAGGCGTAGTCCCGAATTCATGGAAGACAGCTTTTGTCCACCCGATCCCTAAAAAAGGCGACAGCTCAGACCCGTCCAACTATAGGCCTATCGCGATCACCTTCTTGTTCTCCAAAATAATGGAATCAATTATTAACTGCCAGCTCATGCGGTACCTTGAGGATCACCAGTTGATTAGTGACCGCCAATACGGTTTTCGTCCGAGGTCGATCAGCTGGTGATCTTCTGGTCTACCTGACCCATAGATGGGCAGAGGCAATAGAGTCCAAGGGGGAGGCGTTGGCCGTTAGTTTGGACATTGCGAAGGCCTTCGATCGAGTTTGGCATAAAGCGCTTCTTTCGAAGCTCCCTTCTTATGGGCTTCCCGAGAAATTGTGCGATTGGATCACCAGCTTCCTTGCAGATCGGAGCATCAAGGTCGTTGTAGACGGTGCATGCTCCGACTACAAGCCTATTAACGCTGGTTTTCCACAAGGCTGTGTGCTATCACCAACGCTGTTTCTTCTGCATATCAATGATATGTTGCTAACTGGTAACATTCATTGCTATGCGGATGACAGCACTGGTGATGCTCTATACACCGGCCGTGCCAATATTTCTCGGGAAAATGTCGCCGAGTACCGGAACATACTTGTGTCTGAAGTCGAGTCTTTGCTGAACAAAGTCTCGGATTGGGGGCGACTAAATCTAGTCCAGTTTAATCCTCAGAAGACTCAAGTTTGCGCGTTTACCGTTAAAAAGTACCCCTTTGTCGTATCTCCTCAGTTTCAAGGCACTCCCCTTCTTGCCTCAGCCAGTATCGGAATCCTCGGAGTCGACATATCGAGTGACGTGCAGTTTCGTGGTCACTTGGAAGAGAAGGCCAAATTGGCCTCTAAAAAGCTTGGCGTGCTCAGCAGAGCGGGACAGTATTTCATGCCAGCACACCGCCTGCAACTTTACAAGGCGCAGGTTTGGCCTCACATGGAATACTGTTCCCATCTCTGGGCAGGGGCTCCCCAGTGTCAGCTCCTTCCACTTGACTGCATCCAGCGCAGAGCGTCTCGAATCGTCGACGACCGAGTTCTTTCCGATCGGCTCGATTCATTGGCACTGCGAAGAGATGTTGCATCCCTTTGCATTTTCTTTCGCATCTACCACGGGGAGTACTCTGAGGAATTGTTCGGATTAATCCCAGCCGCCAAATTTCACGAACGCACATCGCGGCAGAACTCCGGATACCATCCACACCATCTGGATGATTGGCGGTCCATCACTGTGTGATTTAGAAGATGATTTCTTCCTCGCACGACTTCCTTGTGGAATCGATTACCATCAGCGATTTTTCCGGACCGATATGACTTAGGGACCTTCAAGAAAAGAGCGTACTCCTTTTTAAAAGGCCGGCAACGCATCTGCGATTCCCTCCTTGGTGTTGCAGCTGTTCATGGGCGGCGGTAGTCACTTACCATCAGGTGAGCTACATGCTCGTTTGCCCCCTCTATTATAAAAAAAACGTAGACACTTAAAATTTTCACAGAATGTGTACTTCTGTTGCCATTATAACAACAAATGATAAAAATATACATAAATTAAAAATTAAAGGGGGCTCCCCTACTAGAAACCTGTGATGGTACGGAACCCTTCATGCGCGAGTCCGACTCGCACTTGGTCGGTTTTTATTAAATAAGCTATAATACTTTAGGCGTGATCCTATATAACATATAAGGAGACTTTCCATCCCTAAGGGTGAAGAAATAGGCATGAAGTTTTTATCATAACAATTTATAAGAAATTATAGTTCTAACTTTGAAATTGTGATATTCCATATTCCTACTCATAAGGATAAAAAAATTAACAAACCGATTAAAAAACTGAATAATGAATACGAAACCATAAAATAATTTCCATTTATTAGCTTCTGAAGTCGGTGTTAAGACAGTGAATTAAAGAATTACAGCCCAGACGAGACAGAGTACCTACCTATACATCATTATCAAGTTACAAGCTGTAATAAGAATGGGCCGGAAAGACCGGGAAAAGACCACGCTATCATAAAATACCTCCGTGAAATAGTAGCACAATATTACTTTGTTTGGTATTGTTAGGGGTGAGTGTGGAAGAACCGGAAACCCCAGAAAAGTTCATTTTAGTCCTCAGGGATCATAACGCATGTGCATTTTGATACATTATCAATATGTAATTGTAAGTTAAAAAAAGTTGCAGCTTATATACGTCCTACTGCTGGGCACAGACATCCATTCATTTCTGAGTGGGTTTCAGGGCAAGGAAATATTCCAATGCTTGTTGCGAACCTCAAATATCTTTGGAAATATTATTTTCTTATTTCTTTTTTCCTCGCGATGTTTTCTTTCAACGCCGAGCATGTAGCAGCAGTTTTTGCTGTTGCCAGCACTTAAAATTGCAATTAACAATTTTATTGATGCCGGCGGGGATCGAACCCGGGTTGCTCGCGTACTGTGAAATTTACAGCGATCGCTTACCCCCTGAGCTATCACGGCTCATTAATATAACGGTAAATATAAAATAATAATAAAATATAATGGTGATAAATAACATGTCTCAATAATTATAAATATTTCGAAGATTTGAGAAGATCGTTAACACGCATACTGACAGCAGGCCTAATTTCAAGCCTAAAAACCCTTTAAATTGAGAGGAGCTCTGTGCCTAGCTGTACACCAAACTATGTGACAAGCAACAGTGTGTTCCTCGTGTTGTTATCATTACAAATCGACTTTTTATCAACAATAGCATGTCTTGTGCATTCCTTTGTTAAGAGTAATCGCTTTATGACGAGTTAAAAAGTTTGTTTATGAGCCAATTGGGTATAAAATCGTTGAAAATATTTCTTTTGTGAAAAGATAAACGACTTAAGACCTTATTACTCAATTTCGTGGGTTTTGTAAGAGACCATTAAGGGATTTTTTTATATGATAGGGTACAAACGAGCACACAGCTAGTCCACCTGATGGTAAGTGGTTGCTGTGGCCCATAAACATCTACATCTATCCTCGTTTACGAATGCCTCTTTTCCAGTAAAATGGGTCTCCGATTCTCTACACTCACCATACGAAACACAGCAGTGTTAAGCTGCTATTTTACGCTGGTATTCTGTGAGAGCGTGGTCCTTCCCCGGTCGAGCCGACCCATTCGTGCTACAACTATACTACTAATATAGCTGCAGCATGGCTCTACCACGTATAAAATTTTTTTACTGGAATAATCTTATAGCTTCCGTCATATAACATATTATAGCTGTAGCACGAATGGGTCGGCTCGACCGGGTAAGGACCACGCTCTCACAGAATACCAGCGTAAAATAACAACTTGACACTGCTGTGTTTCGTATGGTAAGTGTAGAGAGTTTTTATTGGAAACAAGGCATTTAAAGTTTGATTCTTAATCGAGGATCGATGTAGAGATGTCTAAGGGTCACAGCATCCACTTACCATCAGATGCACGATGTGTTCGTTTGTCACCGTTATTTTATGAAAAAAATCCATAAGGGAGATTTAATTAATCGGGAGTGGACTTTTGATAGGCTGCGATGAATTAATAAATTAGGATTCAGCACGAACGGGTTGACATAACCGGGGACAGAACCATGCTCTTACAGAATACCAACATAAAATAAAACCATAATACTGCATAACAAAAGCCTCCCCGTAGATTGTCTCATATGGGGTATATTGCTATAGTTGCCACGCTTTGCAAGCGAATTGGCAACCGAGGCTTAGTTTTAAATTTTGAGCTGTCATCAGGAAGATGCTTTTGCTCATCTCGTGTTTGCCTACCTGTATGTTACGTCGCCACTACACGGCACAATATAAAAAAAATGTTCACAAAAAAAATTACAGTTTTTCTGGTATTCTCTTGTAAAATCTTTACGCCCCATGAATAAATTACTTACATTGTGGCGTCAAGTAATTGGTATTACTAACTTGACCTTGGTATTAACTGGTATCTTAAGTTTAGCGTCTAAATCTAAATTTTGTTTACCACGTTTGTTAAATTAAAATATCCTATAGGTACTTCAAGTCGGTTGCTGTGTAAGTATATTATTAATTACATAGTTCATTATGTTATCGGATGTATGTTGATGGATATGTGCATCGTGTAATATTAAGTTTATAAAAAATCTAATTATTATTAAATATCTTTATATACGTAAATACATAATTATGTGAATAATTTAATAAACTACTTATACAATATTTAATGAAGATAAATAAATAATAAATAAATTATATATATACTAGCTGACCAGGCAGACATTGTTCTGCCCTTTTCGACGACCCTTCATATAAAAAATACTTAAATTCGTAACAAAAAAATATTGAGTGTCACTTATCAGGATAAAAACTATCCTATCTCTTAAGTTGGACCAAACTGCACAGACTGTGCAAATTTCATTGAAATCAGTTCAGTAGTTTAGGAGTTCATCGCGGACAAACAACGTGACACGTGATTTTTATATATAAAGATATATACACTCGTATATATATTGTAATTGTTTTTTCGCAATAGACTCTAATACACTATCGATTTTGTATTTCAATAACGTTTTTTCTTTCGAAGTTTATCTAGATAGATAAGTAACTCTTGAGTAAGCTATACTTTTTTAAAGTGTAAATGTACATTTGTGATAGGTTGTGATGATAATAATTGCTTAATACATTTTGTTATTATTATTTTTACCTTTATTCCAATTATTTACAATAAATGTATTTATATATATGTTATATTATGTCAAAAAAATGAAATGGTTTTTAAGTCAGGAGGACACTGGAAACGGAAGAATTAAGTTAAGCTCAGTTAAGTTGGTTAAGGATTGAAGCTCCGTCTAGGGGACGTCTGGCGTGCCAAGAGGCGCATGCGGGGACACGGGGACCTCCGAACCTCCGTGCCTCTATAACTATATATCAACCAGTATCGAGCGAGACTCCGCGGAGTGAGGTCATGTCGCGATGTCAGACGACCGCGATTCACCGCCACCAAGCGGACTACGAAACCGCGTAAGCTTTTTCGAGAGAGTGTGGAAAGGGAGAGGCAGCAGAGACAATGTAGACTCTACAGCTAATGTAGAGGAGATAGAGCGTCGCCTAGAGCAGCGCAAACGGCGACCGGAGTCGCCGAAAATCGACGTCAAACTCAAACAAACCTGCGACACCGAGTCGCCGACGAAGAGCCAAGAGACAACCTTACAGAATGTGAAGCTGAGGCACGTGGAGCCCGTGGAGGAGATCGAGAGGATCGAGAGGCAGATCGAGGAGGGCGATCTCGCCTCCGGTGTCCACTTCGTCAAGTTCGAACGGGTGTCCTTGAAGCGGGCGGTCGAGACTCGAAGTGAAGACCGGCCGGATTCCCCTCAGCACGAGTGGTACTCCGAATATAAGCAACAAGCGCTGCAAACTGCGCCGAGAAAGGAGTATCTACGCAGTAAATCTGAATATGACTCGCATATTGCCGAAATAAGAGGTAACGTAACTTTAACTGTACAATTTAAGATCTTTAGTTTTTGATATACAGTAACATAAATACGTACAGGCCGATATAGTGTAAGTCAAAAAATAAAAAATATGTTTTTTTTTTTTGTAATTATTAGAAGCCAGTGCTTGACTACAATTCCAATCGTCCCAATGTAGTAAATCGATGGCAAATCACAGTGCTATTGTAGTAATTATTTAGCGTAATAACAAAAGCCTGTCTTGTCTTGTAGACGCGAAGTTTGTAAGCGGACGTAAACAATAAATAAACGTGAAATAATTTAAATATTTCAAGAGAATAATGGATGTACCTTTATACCTTTTATTAGACTTATACTTATAGTCTGAAAATTATACTCGAAATAACAAATGCATTATTTTACGTTCAATTTTTTTAAGGTTTATATTAATTTTTCATGCTCTTTTCTAATGATTTCAAGATAAATTCACATATTATTTTTAGTAATTTAATTTATTAATTAAATAAATAATTAATTAATTAAGTAAGTTACTTAAATAACTAAATAAATTACTATTGCTACGAGAAACAAAACTAAAAAGAATTATCTAAAAATAATAAAAGAAATATGGGAACCTTAGTATATTCGATTTTTGGAGGTGACTTCTTGTAATTAAAAAGAGTTGCTAGGCCTTTTAGAATGGATTAGGCTCTTTTCTCGAAGTTACTCATATCGGTTGGGAAAAACCTGCTAGCAACAAGGAATTCTAATAAAAAATTTAATCGACTTCAAAAAGGAGAAGGTTCTCAATTCGAGTGTAAGTTTTTTTTGTGTGTATGTTACGCGGTATCATTGCTGATTGTGAACGAATTTTGTTGATTCCCTTTTTATTAAATAGGTTATAGAATGGTCCTGTATAAATTTGGAAGAAAAAATTCTACCACTAAGGGTAGCAAATAAATAACATCTTTTTAAGCAGTTTGAAGTCGATTTATACTTTTGTTAATAGTTATAATCATAAAATTTTAGCGTAGGTATGTGGTAGAGCCACATTGCAGCTATATTGTAGTTGCAACACGAATGAATCGACCTAAACGATATCAGAACTAAATAACAGCATAATGCCGCTGTGCTGTGTATGGTTAGAAACGAGAACCGGTTACCCTTTTACTGGTAACCAGATATTCCTTCTCCTTAACGAGACATCTCTGTCCTAAGAGGTGAAGACGCAACTGCATTTTGTTTCTTAATAGCATCTATTAATGTGTCTTTTTTAGATTTAAGATAATCAAAGAATATTTATTTTAGAAAAAAACGTTATTCAAAAAAAAATCAATAAGTTTTTTGGATTAGATTTAACCTGGATTACTCCAGGCGTTGCTCTCAAACTGATCGTCAAGTGTCATTACAATCGGTTCAGCCGTTCCAAAGATTAACCAGGAGGCCGGGACGGACAGACAGATCGAAAATTTAAAAAAATATTATTCTCTAGGTGACAGGCGTGAGGGCTTATATTATATATATAATTATATATATAATTATATATATATATATATATATATATATATATATATATATATATATATATATATATATATATATATATATATTATATTTATTATATTATTTATGTCATAATGGCATGCAAATAACCCCCTCTGATTTCGATATTACAGACAGATACTTCAATACAGACAGATAAAAATCTAAAAGTAACTGTATATTTGATATTGTAATAATAATAAGGCATTTTTATCAATGTAAATAATATAAAATTCTAGAGCCACGCTGCAACTATATTGTGGCTGTAGCACGAATGGGTCCCTGGTGGTCCCATGGTAACCACGCTCGCACAGAGTACCAGTGTAAAATAGCAGCTTAACGCTGCTGTGTTTCGTATGGTGAGTGTAGAGAACAGGAGACCCTTTTTACTGGAAATGAGGCATTACATCTCGGTCCTCAGGGGTGACAACGCATCTGAATTTTGATTCTTAATTGAGGATAAATGTCTATGCACCACAGCATCGACTTACCATCTCTTACGATCATTTAAAAAAAAAAAGAAAGGATAAAAATCTAAAATTAATTGTATTCGAGTATGAGTCCCTGAGAGATGGCTACATATTTGTACCATTTGCTGTAGAGACTATCGGTCCGTGGGGTCCACGTGCGGTGAAGTTTCTAAAGGAACTCCATCCGCGGCTGGTCGTTGCTGTTGGTGATAAGAGGGCTGGTTCTTTTCTCGTTCAAAGGCTAAGTATAGCCATTCAGCGGGGAAACGCAACCAGCGTTCTTGGTACAATATCGCGGGGAATAGGACTATATTATGATAATTAAGTTTCTAGTTATAGTTTTTTTTTTATTATAGTTTTTAATATTGTATATAATAAAATATTGTATATTATGTTATGTAAATAAATATGATTTCATTCGATATTGTAATAAGGCGTTTTTATCAATTAGGTATAGCGTTATTGAGGTCAATGTAATCCAATGTAAATAATAATCGCGATTTCATCGAAACTGAAGGTACAGTCGTGTATAAAGTTACAACTTAGGAATTATAATTCTGCTGTAATTTTTTTCTCATTTTCTTAGAAGGCGACATTGTGTGAATTCTGTTAGCAATCGATCCTTGAAAAGTATATCAAGTATTTATTATATAAAACATGTGCTTGTAGAGCCCAATGTAGGCATTACAGGATAGTGTTGCTTCTAATTAAACTTTAAAAAAAATAAGGGCTACCTGATGGTGACTGATGAAATGTATGCTGTGGCTCATAGACATCTACATCTATCCTCAATAAAGAATTTGAATGTCGCCCTGAGGAATAAGATGGAATGCCTTTTATCCAGAAAAGGTGTCTCCGTTTTTCTACACTCACCATACGAAACACGGCAGCATTAAGCTGCTATTTTACGCTGGTATGCTGTGAGAGCGTGGTCCTTCCCCGCTAGAGCTTACCCATTCGTGCTACAACTATAATATACCTGTAGCATGGCTCTACCACGTAAAATCATTTCTTTCTAAGTTTTACAACTTAAAAGTGAACTTTATAAATTCAAGTAAAAGTAACGTCCTCGTCCCCATCAGCCCGTAAATGTCTGCTGCTGCTCACGGATCTCTCTACTAGGAAACGGACGGATCTACTAGGAAAAAAATACACAGCCGATCTAGGTCATTCCTAGGATCTCCTATTTTTTTACGTGGTAGAGACAAGCATCAGCTATGCTAGCAATACATGGCTGCAGTACTGAAAAAAAATATTGTAACAGAAAATAGTTTACAAAAAGAGTAATTGAAGAGTTTCTTTCGCTTCTTTTCCGTTTCTTCTTTTTCCGTTTCTTTTTCCGATCAAAGATTTAAAAAGAATGACATTTGACAAACAAAATTTTAATTTATTATGTCGAAGAAATAAATATATTTCATTTTATTACATTACGATAACAACGACACTGATGTTATTTATATACATTATGTTAATTTCTATATAGATAAATATTATATCAACTAGCTGTGTTTGTCCGTCTAGTCTGTAGTGAACATAATATAATGTCACACAGTGTCGACCTTGGCCGCCAATTTGGTTTGTAATCTTACACAGTTTATTATGCGATGCATATTCGGTGTAGTTGACGGTTTCACCAATTATGGAATTCAAAGGCACAATTAAATCGAGTAAATTAGGCATCGGTCCATCCACGATCGAATCGATCTAATTGTTCTGTATCTGCATACAATACAGCTGTACAGTGACTTTACCACGTTTTAAAAATATAAAAGTATATTACATCTTCTTCTTCTTTATCAGCAAGTAAAAGTCCTGGATACCTTGGGTATCACCATACCTGTGTTTTATATATATATATGTACATTTTACACACATGACATTCTACGCATAACATCTCAAAATCATCAAAACGACGTCTAAACATTTTTTTTAATAAGGGTGACAAACGAGCTCACAGGCCAGCTGATGGTAAATGGAAGCTGTGCCCCATAGACATCTACACCTTTCCTCAATAAATAATCAAAATGCAAATGCATCGTCACCCGTGAGGACTAAGATGGAATGTGTCTTTTCCAGTAAAATGGGTCTTCGGTTCTCTACACTCACCATACGAAACACAGCAGTGTCAAGCTGCCATTTTACGCTGGTGTGATGTGAGAGCGTGGTCCTTCCCTGGTCGAGCCGACCCATTCGTGCTACAACTATCCTATTAATATAGTTGCAGCATGCCTATGTATATTTAAGAAATATACATATATATTTAAAATATTATAAACATTATATTGTTTAACTTTTACAACAAAATCATAGAAAATGTTCTAAGTTTTAACAAACTCAACAAGTTTAAAAATCAGAAAAACTGTACCAAAACGTTTCTTATAATATTAAGAAATTAAAAATTACATGAATAAAAATAACCCCTGGGAGTGAGTTGATCTCCATAATGCTGGTTCTATTAAAATTCATTTATGTAATTGTACAAAATTATTGTTAAATTATATAATTCTAAAAAATAATCCCACTTGGTTTCTCGCTAGTTATTAAGACCAGTGGTAAATAAAAAATTGACTTTCAATAAGTATCATATAATTATCTGTATTGAAGATATAACTGCAGCCACTTGAAACCACAATCACTTGAAAAACCTGATGTTCTATTCAACTAATTAGTCATTACTAATCTCTACATATAGTTTACCAAATTAGTCAGAAGTTGATACAATCTTGTAAAGTAGGCTTTACAAATATACAATAATCGATAACTTGCCAACAAAAAAAAAAGCAAAAATGTTTTCAAATATAATCACACTGGAACAATGCGAGACATTACCGATAAAAATAGATTATATAAATAATCTGTAATATGAGATAAGGCTTCCTTATCGGGTTACTGAGAACAAGAATTAATCACCGATAGTTTTAAATGCCCTCCTATTAAATCTTACTGTTGTCACACTAATTGTTTAGGTGAGTATAAACCTTAGATTATTTACAAACGCATTGATTCAAAATGTAACGGTA